AGCCCTATATAAGGTTGAACACAGATATAAGAAAGATAGCTACCGGCGATTTCGAAAAGAACCTGTATAAGCTCATGAATAACTCAGTATTTGGTAAAACTATGGAGAATCTAAGGAAGCGTGTTGATGTTAAATTAGTCAGATCTAATGAGGAAGAAAGACTCAGGAAACTTATAGCCAGTCCGGCTTTTAACAGAAGCAAGATATTCGATAACGACTTAGCCGCGTTGCATATGCAGAAGAGTAATATAAAATTCAACAGACCGGTGTACGTCCGTATGAGTATTCTCAACTTGTCAAAACACTTAATGTATGACTTTTATTACAACGAACTTAAGAAGCAATACGGCGATAGATGTGAGGTGTTATATACCGACACAGATTCTTTGTTGATGGAAATACAAACCGAGGATGAGTATAAAGATATGGCAGAAAAAATAGATATGTACGACACGAGCGATTACCCAAAAGATAATCCACTGCACAGCGTAGTAAATAAAAAGGTGTTAGGTAAGATGATAGATGAATGCACTGGGACTCCTATAGCGGAGTATGTGGGATTAAGACCTAAGATGTATTCTATAAAAAAGTCCGATAATGGAGAGATAAGAAAAGCTAAGGGTGTTAAGAAGTATGTTGTAAAAAAGCATATCAAACACGAACAGTATAAAGAATCATTATTCAACGGTAGAACGTTCAAACACGAGATGAACTCTTTAAGAAGTTACAATCACAGGATATATGGATTAAGAATGAACAAGACATCATTATCCCCCTTAGATACAAAGAGATGGATTGATAATGATGGTGTAACTACCTATGCTTATGGTTATGGTGGTAATACCGTACCATCGGGAACTATGAACAGCTCTTCTCGTACAAATGCCCTACCCGGTCCATCTTGAAGATAATAAAGAATAGGCTCTCCTTCTTTCGTAACCAATCGACTAATGTTATACGTCTTAAGGGACCATATGGGATCGGTTGCGCGACGTAGGCCTCCTTCGAGTTCACCGGCCTGGTATAAATATCTTACCCTTACTCTATCCGGAAGTTTTCGTTCTTTGCCTCTCCTCGGTGCTGAAGATTCGGAAATCACGGATTTCATTTTAATAGCATCGGATGGTTTCTTCCCTTTTAATCTCGTTACTTCATTATTCAGCGCTGATACAACAGCTGATAATCGTGTCACCCATACGGTTGATCTCAATCGCTCGGATTTCATTTCGATCCCATACTGATAGCCAAATAAACGTTCCGCTAATGTCCTGTTAAATCTTTCGACGATAGCTTGACTGCGGTGGGCCTCTCTTTCACCACGCCTGATTTCGACATCGTGCTTTGTTAACAGTTTAGTCACCAATCCCATAAACTCTACTTGATCTACTTGAAATAGCTTAGGCCATTTTAGCGGTCCGCGTTTATATATGCGACTCAGTGCAATAGCTACTTCTGTTGAATCTTTTGAAGTTAATGGCTCAGCCTCTTTGTATCGACTAGCCACATCCACTACTGTTAAAGCGTATTTATACGGTTTGCGTTTTACCTTATCGTGGGGAAGAAACAAGAGGTCAGCCTGATGAACTTCATTCGTTGTAAAAATATCAAACTTCTTCCTCGGTATATAACGCGGTGCCGGTAAGTATATTTGCCACATCGCTTGTTTCTTTAACCAATCCTTGGCCACATCTTTAGATACCTTAGCCGCGGTGGCTAATTTTTTTATTGCTCCTACACCTTTCCAATATCCTCGTGGGCTATAGTAAATTTTATTCATTATTAATTAATATTGATGTTTCATTTAATACAACTTATGACTATCATTGAATCGCATAATCATTTTGGCATAAAAAATGCCACCTGTAGTAGCAGTATAGGTATATAAATCAGGCTCCAGTGGAAGTGGTCCAGAACCCCTATTACCTATACTACTCGGCCAATTCACGTCTAATGGCTGTTGAAGTATAAAAAGTGAGGAGAAAACTTTGACGTTCGCGTTGATGTGTGAGTCAAGAAACAACCAAATACATATATTGAAAACCAATATGATCTTAGTTTGTTAGAGCATTCGGTATGAATGCGTAATGATGGGCAAACTGAATGAAAAGTATGGAATGTATACATCGAGAGTTTTTGACAGTTTAAATGTACATAAATTGCAGATGCAGTGAACACTTTGTCACTGTAATGTCAGGGGTTTTGGATGTTGGGGCCTGCAAGTGTTGTTTATCGATTCCAATTTCAACCTTAAAATTAGAACCGAATCATTTCTCAATCTGCCTGCTTCCGCCTCGGATCTTTTAATCACATTACAGGGCTTTTCTGTTTTCTCATCCGCTTGATTACCGTGTTGGCAACTTGTGTCAAGATTTAGTAATGACATGGAAGATGCCTTCAGTTGTCTACTCAGGGGATAAATCCGACAGGCAGTCATTGTGTGCAATAGGACCGAGGGCTGCAGGTGTTTTATTTACCCAAACAGGATATCAGTCCTAAAAAGCTAGTTATTTTGATTATGTCAAGATCAAAGGTTTCACACGCCCAACAAAGTATGCAATATTGTTATTTGTGTAGGGTTAACAGGAAAAGCCACACCTTTGGATTTGCTGTAGGTTGATGTTTAAGTTGCGGCGGACCGCTTCCTGACGTATCCGTACAGCTGCTAAGCATCGGAAGATAGAGTATATAGTAGAAAGGCGCTGCAACCAAGTCTAACATTTCTGCCAATGAAAAACATTTGATTTGCGCCATTGTGGCGACAGCTTTAGGCCACGCACCCAGATAGTTTTGTTTTGGAAGCCAATTGTGAAGCGGTTGATGTCAGCACTCTCACTTGGATTTCAATACTTTCAAAGTATGTATGAATATATTTCTCCCGGAAACTGAGTAAATGTATCTTGGAAAATTGCTGTTCGCAACATAATCGCAATCATTTATTTCACTTTACTTGCCTCAGGTGGTTAAGACGATTGCCCGGACAAATGTGGAGAGAAAGATTATGTTCGGGGCCTGGTGTTTCACCTCCTGGTGTTTCACCTCCTGGTGTTACATATATATATATTAGGTTAGCAGAAACATATTGAACGAAGCGTCAGCGAGTTTAGGCCGAAAGGTTTTCACTATCTGGTATCTTTATCGCACATGTCTTGTCAAAATGAAGACTTACAACTTACAACCGTTGACTTTAAGGGGCGAAGGGAGACTACTCTTCAAACCTTGCTGAATTTTTTAACTACTTTCTTTATCAATAGTCATGAACGTGATTTTATTTAAAATTAAATGTCGTTGCACATCACAATTAATTATATAAAAACACAAAACATTGTCGAATGACGAATTTCAGTACCACAATTTTCTTATGAAATATGTGAGATGGGTGATGGCTGTTACTGACGGTATATGGTCTCATATGAGGTATACGGGTTCAAAAGGGTTAGAAGTTCTGCTCTCTGATTGGTCGATCTCACTTTGAGGCATAATAATATTATTTGTGGTGTTTTTAGTTGACGTATAGCAGCCCGTCGTTAGGGAAAGCGGACTGCTAGTAACAGTGGCCGGCAGATTTTCTGATAACATGCGGACATTTTTATGATAATTCTATCCATTTTAGCTATATAATACTTGTTTAAACGTTCACATTTAGTGCATTATATATACCATTGTTAACGTTTGTTTTTAAAGGGTTGTATCGAAAACACATGTACTGGTCCTGTAATTTATACCGGTTTTCATTTTGACATGACATGTGCGATAAGATACGAGATAGTGTGAACTTTCGGCATAATAAATTCGATATGGTGTTTTTTGTTGCCGTATACGGTGTCGTATTGGGTTAGCAGAAAAAAATATTTGGCTCGTTTCACGCCTCGTCCATTATTTTTCTGCTAACCTAATATGACACCGTATACGGTAACTAAAGACATAATAACTATTAATGTGTCTATGGCCCCGCAAGACGTGAACCGTGTAGGTTAACATGATTCAGTACGCTTACTCAGTATTCACCTGATGCAGGGGCAAGACGTAGTAGCCCAGAAGCGTCGTTACAAACAAAAAACATGTTGCTATCCATAAAAAGTGCCATGTATTCATGTTCTTCCAATTTCTAAATGCCTACCAGAGACTTCATGAAGGTCAATATTCTCATTTGGATTCTTGGATGTATACCATCTGGACCATACTACCTCTGGATCCATCAACCTGCAGGTAACTCACTTTATTTCTATTGTCCGTACTAGCTGAAAGTATGAGCAACACCAGTTCTCCACGATACTCTACACAGGAACCTGACTCTCTGGACTATGGTATCTTAAATGAGCTACGCGACACACTTAGTGGGTATGATAGACACACATGTGAAACTAAGTTGACTACGATATACATGGATGAGAAAAATGAACCAAATGCATTCGTTTCTCATTGTATGGCATTGCAAAGAGTGATAAACCTGACTTTCCAGATGGGCCCTTATAAAGAGGTTGAAAAGAGCCGACCAGTCTAAAAGTGTGCTTATGAAATATGATCAGATGTGTACCTGCACAAAAGCTATATTACTGGTCTGTGCCTGCTCATGGTATCCAATCGGAAGTCATGATTCGACAGAAATCACGTGCTCGCGGTAACAAAGTATCTGACGAAAACACTGAACTTGTGGATGATAAAGACAAAGACGTGCTTGGATGTTTCCTCTCAAAACTAATGTGTATGCATGAAGAGATGTATGAACGCTTTACAGTGTAAATATGAAGAGGATATGTTTCACATGATTACTGCATTATTGTATTGTTAATGGTAGAGATTGTAAAAGGAATGATTACACATATGTATCAAATAGGGGCACTTCTGTGGTTGATTACTGCGTGACTGCATATGAATCGTTGAAATACTTCACAGATTTTGAAGTGGTTAGACCAAATGTTTTAGCTACATCAGCAGGCTGCACAGGATCTATAGACCCTACATATATTCTCAAGCTGGATCACTCTATGTTGAAGTGGACTATGATACTAGAAGTAGGTACAACGCATTCGACTGTCACCAAAGATGATGTTATTCCAGTTATGTTTGTGAAATTTGACTGTTCAAAAATTCCGGAGCACTTCTTTACCTCAACGGAGTCAGGTCAGAAACTAGATCAAGTTATTAAGGATTTGGATAGTTCAATAAAAGACCAAACTTCTATCAATAAGGCTTTCGAATCGTTCGCCGAGGTTGTCTTATGTGAGATGAAAGAACATCTTCCGTCAAGAAAAGTTGTGCATTACTCGGTGAGGAAGAAATGTAAATACAAGAAACAGTGGTGGAACTTGGAGTTGGCTGATCTTTGGAAAAACCTTTGTGAAGCAGAAAGGTTATGGTGCAAATCTAATGGTCCCAGGAAACAACAGTTAAAGAGTATATACGTTGCAAGAAGAAAAACTTTCGATAAAGAATGCAAACGCGCTAAACGTGTGCATGTTAAGAAAACACTTCAAGATATGGAGGAACTGTGTAAATCAGACCCTGGAGAGTTTTGGAGGAAAATCGGGCAGGTAGGAATTGGTAATGAAAGGAGAAAAACGATTCCGATGGAGGTGAAACTAGAAGACGGGTCCGTGAGTAAAGATATGGACAAGGTCATGGACACCTGGTACAAGGCATACTCGGACATCCTCAACTGCAATGGAAATATCTCTCAGACAGGTGTAACATATTCTACAACTGACGAAGATGACAGCATGAGTGACCCTATTTCCCATGACGAAATAAAATCCGCAATTGGGAAGGCTAAACAGGGTAAAGCGCCAGGTTTAGATAATATACCAATTGAAGTATTAAAGAATGAGAAGTGTGCGAGATACATGTATAATCTGTTTAATATTTGTTTTGAGGAAGGCTGCATACCGTCTGAGTGGACAAAGGCTGTGATAAACCCGATACCGAAGTCGTCGACAGAGTAGAGGAGAGATCTTCTCTCCTACAGAGGACAGATCTTCTCTCCTACAGAGGACTGACTCTAACTAGTGCAAGCTACAAGCTTTATTGCAGTATTTTAAATAATAGGCTCTCTAGTTTTGCAGAATCTCACTCTATAATAGAAGACAACCAGAACGGTTTCCGGAAGGGAAGATCAACGATTGACAACGTCACTTCTATTACCTCTATAATTGAAACCCGAAAAGCGATGGGCAAGTCTACATACGCAGCTTTTATAGATTTCCGCAAAGCATACGATTTTATAAACAGAGGAATTCTATGGGAGAAACTCCGGGAACTTGATATCAAAGGCAAGATGTTCGGAGCAATATCGTCGCTCTACAAAGAAATAAAGTGTTGTGTTCGGCTAAATGGGAGACACACCCCTTGGTTCAACGTAGACAGTGGATTAAAAACAAGGTTGCCTACTCTCACCTATATTGTTGAATTTGTACATAAATGACCTCATGACTTTAATCAATAATATGGACATTGGTGTATCTACTGGAGAATGTAAAGTAGGTATTTTAGCCTATGCTGATGACATAGTACTACTGGCCGAATCTGAATGTGAGCTAAACATGTTGTTGAATTGCCTTAACAGTTGGTGTTTGAAGAACGATATGTCTGTGAACTATTCTAAATCTAAAGTTATTCATTTCCGTGGTGCAAGAGTGAAAAGAACAACCGAGGTTTTCAAGTGTGGAGATGAATATACGGAAATAACGGAGAAATATACATATCTGGGAATACTACTCACAGAGCACTTAGATTACAAGAGAATGGCTAAGGCATCAGCAAGTTCGGCTAGCAGAGCGCTAGGGCTTTTAATAGCGAAATTCAAGCTATTAGGTGGCATGGAGTTTGGGACTTTTAGGAAACTCTATGACTCAATGGTGTGGTCGGTGATTGAATACGGAGCTAACATTTGGGGTACATACAACATCTCATGCATAGAAGCTGTCCAGAACCGAGCCATGAGATACTTCCTAGGGTTGAGAAAATTTCCCCCAACAACGCTGTTTCTGGAGACATGGCCTGGGACCCGACCACAGTGCGACAGTGGGGGTCAGTCACCCGGCTATACATGCGCCATATGAGAATGGACCATCAGCGTCTCAACTACAAGATATTCAAGTGGAGTCATCAATGGGCAATAAGACGAAAATCCAACTGGACCTTCCGACTACACAAGAAGTTACAGGAATCAAGCCTAACTCACTTTATACCACTGGACAAAGTATATGGAAGTCAGTACATTGTGAATACCATCCAAGATAAGATTATGCAGCAATTTAAAAAAAATTGGAGGAACGAGGTTTCACAACAGGAAGGAAAGAGAGGAATCGACGGGAATAAGCTAAGAACATACAACAGTTTCAAGGAAGGTTACGAAACGGAGTATTATGTTCGAACCCCTATGCCGAGGAGATACAGGTCGGCTTTAGCCAAGTTCAGGAGTGGGGTGGCGCCCCTCAAAGTAGAGACTGGACGCTACACAAACACGCCCCTAGATGAAAGAATATGTCCATTTTGTGCTGTTGGTATAGAAGACGAAGAGCCACGTATTACTAAGATGTTCTAACTATGAAACCGAAAGAGAAGAACTGTTAAGAAAATGTTGTGATGTAGAAGACGATTTCAAGAATTTCGATGATCCGAGAAAAGCCAGTTTTATCCTGTCTTCCCAAGATGTGATATATTTAAGTGCCAAAACCTGCTTTAACATTTTATCTTAAAGATATGATTGCCTTTATTCTTAATTCATGGTTTTACTTTTATATGCGTTGTAGTTTATGTACCTTTTATTTATATTTTAATATGCTCTTTTTATGAAAAGTCTCTCGTAACCCTGTATAGGGTGGCTCGTTACATTTTATACTTGTATACTTTTACATATGATATGTATTTGAGATATATTTTTTCGTATTTTAAAAGTATGTATGAATCATTGTAATGAGGTGAGACTGTAATAAACTGTCTGTCTGTCTGTCTGTCTGCATTAGAAGAAAAGAACAAAGAACCTGTTTTCCTTAAAACTAAAGTTCAAGAGAGTCATTCACGCGAGGAAAAAATTAGGCATGATGTGTCATCACTGAAGGACGACCTACAACATAAGAATGTAGATATTAAAGAGCTCCAAGAAACTCTGCATACAAGAATATCAACAGTTGATAAACGAATGTCTGCTATAGATGGGAAAATAGATTGTATGAGCACCAGAAGTAAGCAATTGTACTCAGAAGCCGTAAAAAGTGCGAATCCTTATGACATGTGTGTGTGACATTTGAAAATACAGCAACAACCCAATCAGCATCTCATTGTCCAGCAATTAGTGATGGCGACCCATCTAGATCAACAAACTCAACAATCCGAGACCACAGACAAAAGCCAAACAAAGTGAGAAAGTCACGACAAGAAATACCTTGTAACCACAAGAACAATGAACCGTCCCTTACCATTACATGCGAAAGCCCCAGTGAAGAAAATCATGCAAGCCAATCAAGGACAGTCCAACTGAACGATCAGTGGAAAAAAACCTTCTCTGGGGCCTCTCGCTCTAGACAAAAGAGGCTTGTTCTGTCTTATGTAAAAGCTGACACGCCCTTTGACATTGTACAAGACGCGATCAAGGACTATGCAACACAGCGTGGTGTTACAATTAGTTATATGAAGCTTCTTAAGCATTGAGAGGGTCGAAATCCAACTTACACAATAGTGTAAATATGCCAACACAAAGTGCAAAGGCAACATTGGCCGATGAAACGTTCTGGCCTGATAATGTCAACTGTAGAGAATGGGTACCAAAACGTTCTTGGTATACATATGACAACTCAGGAGCCGAGAATGAAAAGCCATACTAATAATAAACATGCATAGTGCACTGCAACTTCTCGTTATGCTTCGAATAGCAACTTGGAACATACGAGGCATTATGCATGGTACACGTCAGGTATGTACCCAACAAGACAGTACAGATCTATTCTTTGTGACTGAACATTGGTTAAATGAACAAAATGGCTGCCTGAAGAACACTTTAAAAGATTATTTTGATGTTTACTCTAAATGCAGCTGTACCAGTACTTCTCAGTGTGGGTCAGGTGGCATAGAAACCTTCATACGTAAAGGCGATTTGTGTAGGGTTTCCGTTATCAATACATCACAAAGCCAAAATGCCATCGGAGTAAGTCAACAAATAGGTAGTAACACATTACATGTGATAGGAACTAGATTACCTTCCACAAACATCTTTGAACAGCTGGACTATGTGATGGCTAACTATTCTTACTGGAGATTTTAATGCAGATATACGATAATCTGCCGTCCAAAGAATGAGATCTCGTTGTCTTCAAAGGGTACTAAATGAACGAACCCTATATTCAGTTGTACCATTAGACGATATTACTAAGTATACGTTCTCAAACAAATGTAAAGATGTGAGAACAATGATAGACTATATGTTTGTGAGTGTTGATTATCTGAATAACGTTATTGGTTATACCATTGATACCGATATACCATATACTGTCTCAGACCATCTGCCTATCCTTCTGTGTATAACAAATGACTGTCCTAAAAAAACATATGGTGGATATAAGCTCAATTGGAAGAAAGCGTGTGATACTGATCTTATGCTGTATCGTTATGAAACTGAAAATTACTTTCGTAAAAGACATATGCAATTTGTCCCAATTCCCGACCCATAATGAATATATAGAAACGTATAATAAGTACATTACAGATGCCCTCCATGCATCTACTGCAGTAAGTATCCCATCAACGAAGTTTAAACCCAACCTCAAACCCAACTGGGAAAAAAGACAATTTGAAGTTATTACATGATGAAATGCGCAGTAAAAGACGACATTGGCAAGAGAATAGCAGATCACATGCTAAGAACGATGAGAACTTTGTTAAATATAAAGAAGCAAAGAGTAGTTTTAGAAGACAGCATCGTAGATCCAAACAATCGCTCATAGATAGCAGACTGAAAGAACTCTATGAGGCAGCTGAAATAGATGTTTTTAAATTTGCAAAACGATATAATAAAACGGGTCAAGTATACAAACTTGTTTATAAATGTAATCAAAGTAGTAAAGCGGAAGGTATTTGTGGAATCTTTGGTAAATACTTTAGAGACTTGTCAGTCCCAACCATGGAAAATAATTTTGACTGCTCTTTTGCTGATGAAGGAACATGCTCAGTCACAAATATTGAAAACAACGAAACCTCTGATGCTGATAACCATGTAACTGATAAGCATCCATTGAAGAGACCATTTACCATTACAGAGGTATTAAGTACAGTTGAAGGACTAAAAAACAATAAATCTCCAGGACCTTATTGGCTCACAAAAGAACATATTAACGTATGCGGGAAGTTCTTTATCAAAGCAATTTATGGTATTATTCAATGCTATTATTAAACATGAATATATACCCAAAGTGTACCATATTGGCGAAATCTTACCAGTACATGAGGGACGAGGAAAAAGTAAAAGTGATCCATCTAACTACAGGGGCATAACACTAACTTCAGTCCTAAGTAAGCTTTTCGAAAGAATGCTTTTCATCGGAATCGAAAACTGGACAAGCGACGATGTAGCCTTTCCTCACCCCCTACAGTTTGTATTTAGGAAAAATGCTGGTGCTGAAACGGCGGCTCTCACTCTTCTAGAAAGTATCGCATACTTTAACGAAAGGAATTCACCAGTTTATTATGCCTTCCTCGATAACGAGAAAGCCTTCGATCGTGTTTGGCTTGACGGTCTCTTTTATTAATTACATAAATTTGGTATCAATGGTAAATTATGGAGAATTCTACGGCTATCTTACAATTCTATGTACTCATGTGTTAGCTTTGCTGGCTTCAAATCTGATGTTTTCCCTGTTAAACCGGGTGTAGGCCAGGGTCGTGTCATATCAGCATGGCTCTTTACTGTTTATATAAACGATTTACTTCATGAACTAAGCAATTCTGGTTG